GGTGGTGGTGGTGGTGGTGGTGGTGGGATGAACAGAATGACACTCCCTCGGATCCGCAATTTTGGACCCTTCCTTTTAGCATGCAGCCGTGCGCCAAAAAGCAAGCACGCTGACGCACTGCCGCCTCGAATCGAAAAAAGGCTGAGTCGGCCTTCCTCTCTTGCTCACCTCCTCACTTCCAACCACACGACACCACCCGACCTTCTTCGCAGCACGTCTCCGTTGGTGCGCGAGGTGTCTCCACATACAACCGATGCTTTGAGACGATCTCCGCTGCTCGCGCCCAGCATCAAGCGCAGCACTGGTCTTGCTGCTCCACCGCCAACATGGGCGTCCAAGGACTCTGGCAGCTCCTGCAGCCCGTCGCACGCCCCATCAAGATCGAGACGCTTGAGGGAAAGCGTCTCGCGATCGACTCGTCGCTATGGCTCTACCACTTCCAAATGGCCATGCGCGACAAGGAGGGCCGCACGCTCTCCAACGCCCACATCCTCGGCTTCCTCTGGCGCATTCTTAAACTCCTCTTCCACGGAGTGCGCCCTGTTTTTGTCTTTGATGGAGGGGCTCCGGTCATGAAGCGCAAGACGCTTTCGGGTCGAAAGGCCAGGAAACAAGGCGCCAAGGAGTCGCATGCACGTACCGCAGAGAAGCTCCTCAACGCACAGATGAGGCAAGCCGCCATCAAGCACGTCGCCGAAGCAGGCGGCGCACCGCCTCGCGCTTCGTCCTCCACCGACAACAATGCGGACGCCAGCGCTGGCGCTTCAGGTCTCGGCGAAAACACCGTCTACTATGATGACCTTCAGGCGGGAAGGCCATCTGCCCTCTCTTCTCGCGACCTTCATTCCGGCGCCTCACCCAGCTCAGCGCCTCAGAGCCGCGAGAACAGCTCCTCCCCCTCCAAGCCGGGCGCCCGCAAGGTCGACTGGCACAAGGACCCCTATGCATTGCCCGCCATGGAAAAGGACCTCAACCAAGTCGCAGCCGCCAACGGCCGAAAAGGCAAGCGCAAGGACTACCGCTTTGCCACCGAAGCTGAGCTCCGAGCCGTCATGAACACCATCGCCCCCGAGGACCTCGACACCACCTCGGAACTCTTTCGCAGCTTACCTCCCGAACTTCAGTACGAGCTGGTGGGAGATTTGCGCGCCCAGTCCCGGATGACCTCGTACAAGCGTCTGCAATCCATGCTCGCCACCGCACCCACACCCATCGACTTCTCACGCGCCCAGATCGCGGGCCTCAAGACGCGCAACGACCTCACCCAAAAGGTGCTCACCGTCACCGACGAGATCGGCAACGCCAACATCAAAGTGCCCATTCGCGTCGCCGGTGAGCGCAACAAGGAGTACGTCCTCGTGCGCAATCCGGGCGCAGAGGGAGGATTCGTGCTCGGCGTACGCGATTCCGGCACCACCCAGGACAAGGCCATCGACGTCGACTACGAGCCCGAAGAGATCAACATTACCGACGACGAACACAATCACACCGATTCGGAGCCCGAAATCGAGATGGACGACGTCGAGATTCCCGCAAGTGTATCGCCGTCCAGGAAAGCTTCCGCCGCGGCTGATCCTGAGATGGCTGAGCTGCAAAAGGAAGCCGATCCGCATGTGCGCAAAGAAAAGGCGCTCGAGCTTCTGCAGGCCCGAGCGCGCCAGCATGCCAAGCAGAGACGCAGAGAGGCAGGACTGGCCGATGCCGATGATGGCCTGGAGCGCGATCTGCGTCCGCATCGCAAGCGCGGCGAACGTCCGCTGTTCATCCGCAATCCACGAACAGCCACGAGCGGCTCGAGCCAATCACCGCAGAACGAGTGGATCGATGTCGATGCAGACTCGGACGCGGACGATGACTTTTCGATCGCCGAGGCGGTTGACGACGAGCTGGAAGAGGATGAGGCTGAAGACCTCGCGCGCGCCATTGCAGAATCTCAGGCTGCTCAGTCAGGCTCCGAGCAGCACCGGGCGGGGCTGAAGCTCGCACATCGAAGCGGAGAGCCAGTCTCGCTGCATGATGCTATGCTGCATCGAGGCGATTCTGTTCAAGCCAGGCCCCACGTAGCGCCTCCAGCGACCGCACCACTCGAGGTTGCGGACCAAGCTGCTCTGGACGTCGATGAGTTGAACGACGATGATTTCGAGGATGTCCAGCCGGAGCCGCTATCAGCTCTACAAGAGGTCGAGCCCGGATTTGCCGCTCAGCCTACCGCCGTCAGCGATGGAACGGATGCTGACCATTCGGGTCGCATGCAGGAGCTAGCGGCGCTTGCCAATCGGCATCGCCGGAAGCCAGTCGACGCAGTACAAGCCCCGCCTCCACCTCCGCGTAAGAGTCTGGCAGGCAGCCTGCGCGCCGCACGTCGTACCGCATCGTCCTCTGCACAGCCCAGTATCGTCGTGGCCGATGACGAGCCCCAGGCACCCGTGCCGGCTCCTGAAAAGAGTTCAGAACCCCCCTCGCGGTCGGCGCGCATGGGTCCGCCCCTTCGTTCCGCCTCGCAACAGCGGCTCGAGCTGGCCAATCTCGCACCCTCAACGTCCGCGGCAGTCGAGATGGCGCACGACGACCTCCCGCCGACACCGGAAGAGGTGAATCGGCAAATCGCCATCGAAGCTCGCTCGGACGTGCAAGAGG